CATCTATGACCATGATCTGCCCAGTTTTCCGAATATATGAATTTATTTATGGCCTGCCTGAGTGGTTCAAGAGAATTGACCCTTGAAAATAGTGAGTACATCCTCCGGAGGTCCTCAATACGGTGTCCTTCCATAAGCATCATAAATCCCTACAGAAATCAGAGAAATTATAACTACTGAAAGATACAAATCTAAGCAGGAATACAAATTGCATAAACAACTGAAGATTCATATTCATACGGTCATACCTTATCAAGAATAGCATGTATATGGCATTCAATTCAAGAAGTTGCCTTTCCACCGTTGCTATTAGCGGCTTTCTTGTAACAGCATCCAGGTAGAGTACGCATCTTTCATGTTCTTCATGTAGCCTGGTCTGTAAGAATACAACTAAAATCTTAACAAAGATAATCCCCCTAAAAATCTTATGGGGATAACCAGCTGTACTCCAAATAAAAATGGAATAATATGGATAACATTCTTTTAAGGATGAAACATGTACACTTCAAAATACAGAGCCCTAGTCATTGCAGATCGAGAACATAAAATATGAGAAGCACCTCAACATGCTTCAGGTAATCCGGAACATCATATTGTTGTATGTATTTTGTTCCTTCAGCTGCATAAAACTCGGATGTGTGTTCCAGGAATGGCTTCTCAAAGCTTCCTGAGTAAATGCCTAAAGCAGTAAACATCTTCAAAAGATGGTTAAGGAGTGTCCTGTCAATGGCTTCACCTAACCTGCACGATCAAAAACAGAGCACAGCGGATTTCAAGATGTAAATTATAAACACTGATGAAAATTTATCATGTCACATCATTCATGACCCAAGATGGTGAATTTGTAGATGGAAACTCTTTTAACTAATGGAAACTCTTAGAAGTTAAAATAATTAAAATGACCTAGAAAATAAAAATAATAGACAAGCAGACTATAGTCAATTGATCAGACATCTTAATCATCCCTTCAAGAAACTTTTTTCTGCTGATTAAGGAACTCCTCTACGAGTTCCATTAATTATGAAGGGAGTTTTTAACGAGGCCTTCAATTCTTATAAAAAAAAAAGAAACTTTTTTCTGCAATAAAAACCATGTTACTACTTCTTGCTCTCTAGCCTTTTGTCAGGTGGCAAGAATGTAATGCCAAGAGAACAATAACATTAGACAACAGTGTATGAGTCAATTCAAGTTGACCAATACTCAAGATGTTGCAGCTTGACATTTTCAATTTTTTTACCTCTCCACTTGTAATTGCACAGAAAATTCAACGTGGTATCAAGTTGGTTGGTCTGAAGGCATAGAAAACAAGTTAACCATAGTATAAGTTTATGTCTACTTCCATCCAACAGCACAGCTTTTATCAACTTATTATACCTTTTCATCAACTACAACAACGGAAGGAGAGTTTCATCCATAAGTTTTGCTATACTCATTGACACACAATCCATTACAACATTCATCTAAAACTATTATGCAGCTTTGCAAAGGTCTATACTTTTGAACCCAAAAAGAAAAAGGAGAATATATATATTTCAAATCAAAATTCATTAGAATTACCTCTCACGCTCATCATTCTCAAAAGACCAGCAACAGTTTTGAGCTCAACTTCAGGAGCCAGAGAAAGATATTTCCGGAAGAGATGCAAGCCCATGTCCTATAATGAACGTACAGTTGGGGTTTGTTTAACATATGTTCTGTCTAGAAACAAGGCTATACTACGAATCATCAACATTTGATCACAAATATCTCACCAACATTTCTCAACGAGTGATAAGAAAACAACCAGATCTGGGCTTTGTCCAACCAAAGATCTTAGTGCCACAGACATAAGTTCTTCACACTCTTTTTCAATCCGTTGGTAAAGCCTTCCTCCCAGCCTGTGCAGGCAAAGAGTAATAACAGCCTACAGGAAGCATGTACAATTATCAAAGAGATAATATCAATCAAAACACAAATGGATAGTAAAAGCAGAGAAAATGAAGAAATATGTGAGGTTTACCTGATAAAGCTTCTCCATGTCACAAGAATTTGGCTGCTTAAAAAATATAGCATTAATGGCTGACTTCAGTTTTGCCCACGTCTCATCTTCAAAATTAGCAGGTAATGTTGGTTTTGCTACACGTTAATAACACAAGAAATTAAATCTATCAGAAACCATTTACCTTTCTGACTATACCTTCAAATTGCATTTTCCATTTTAGAGCTGCTGTTCTGTTCTCTACATTAGTATACATAAATAACATAGTTTTGAAGATAAAATCTGATTTGCAATTAGAGGAAAAGCATATAAAAGTAAACCTTAGTTCAAAAGACATTACTATTCTGAGCAAATAACCTTACTAATAACAGGTTCAATCACCAGCTAACTAAAAGCGATATTTAGCTGTTTAGGAAGATGAAGTAATTGATTATACTCATGAAAGCTAGCATCACAGATGCCTACAAAAATTGGTCAAGTAGAAGATAGAAAATAACTTTTTTCGAAAAGCTGAGGGTAGAGTTTATCTCCAGGACAATATTCAAATCATTTTTCGTTCGATAAATTAACAAAAATAAATGGCCAAACCGAAAAACCATGCAAAGCGAAAGAACTTAGGTTCAGAGCTTGTCAAGTAAAGTTGCATTAATTAATAGTTCTACATCACAATGTCAAGAAAATGTAGAATGTCCATAAGCAGTTAGTTCTGAAGCCATGTAAATAAACGAGAAACTTATGTCCCTCATTTGTTTAGCCTCAAAGAGTGTCTCCTAAAAACCAATTCCAGTTTCAAATAATCATAAAATAAAAGGTCCCTACTCTAGAAAATGATTGAAGTGACAAAGGTGACACTTCTTAAGATCAGTTAACAGATCTTCGTAAAACCTTAATTTAAAGCTATTTAGGAAGTAATGGGAAGTACTTGGTTTCATTTACATGGCCTAAATGGAACAATCGAAAACAAACAAATAAATAAATAATTCAAGGGTAGGACCAAGTCACACTGTAAAGCTAATTAGTTTTACATGAAAATATAGTCATCAGATTTATCTAAATGGATGACTGATACTAAAAGTTTGCTATATTTCCGTGTAAAAGTAACGAGTTTTACACTATGAAAGTATATCTTATCCCATAATTCAATGCCTATTAAAGAGTGTTAGCTCAGTAAAACAGCGAAAACTATAAAAATAAACAAACCAGTTGCAGGATCCTAAAATTGAACAAAACTCCAATTTTCTGAATTTAATATCCTCTAATTGTTCATTCCAAAAAAAACCCAACAACTAAATCCACTCAATTTCTAAGATCAAACACTCAAATTAACTAAACGAGCAACTTAAAAATTTCCCAGGAATTAGATTTCACAAAGACAAAAAAAAAAAAAATCGAGAGAGAGAAACATACCTTTAACGAGTTTAATGACAAGCTTTTTGGCGGGTTGAGGCGGGGTCGCCTTTTTAAGAGACAAATTAGCGGTGGCGGGAGAAAGGGCATCGGCGGAGTTGGGATCATCATCGAGGGGCATACACGAAGGGTCGAAGACTACGTCGGTGGCGTTTTGGTTGTTGCTGTTGTGGTGGTGGCGGTGATGAAGGCCCTTTTTGTTTGGCTCGAGAGAACAAGCCACGGCTTGAGACTTGGCTTTCGTCATTGATGAGTAGACGATGAAAGCAATGGCGATGGAGTTATTTGCGTTTTGAATAAGCGTTACTAAGTGTGCATTTTGGAGGGGATGACGAGAGACATGAAAGCGATCGAAGACATCATCGTAAAACTTTCAGCTCGTTTCTATATTTATAGGTAACTTATATCGTAGTTCACTATATTATTATTAAGTTTACAATTGAGTTACTGTATTTCAAAAAAATCACAATTAAATCATTCAATTATTCGATTGTAGTACTCATGCCACTGTGTTGTTAAGTCTCACACGGATGTTAACATTTTTGGTAATTTTACACTTTGATCATGAGTATGTTTACATTTTGATAACTCAACTTTTGATTTTAAGTCAACATTTTTGGGATTTTTTTTTTTAATTTCTTGCAGGTTGGTGTAAGATCAATTCCTTATTGGTTTGATATTCTTCTTGAACAAAAGTTATTTGATTCTAATAATTTTCATTATCAACAACCTATAGAGTATGTGATTAAAAGCTATTAGATTATACCTCTCCTCTCCCCTAGGTCGTGATTTCAATACCAATTAAGAATAAAATTCCTCTTCTCTATGTAGAAATTAAAAAATAAAAGAAGAAACCCAATTTTCGTTAATGAAAGTGATTGAAATGAAAGCACAACAAAAATTAATGATTCTAATAAAAGTTTTTTTCATTAATAAATTTTAATTTCTTATCAATGTATTTATATAAAATACAAAAATATATCAAAGCATATAGTAGTCATTCATAAACTCAAATCATTATCATATTACAATATTAATTACTTCTAAAAATTTAATATAATATTAATAAATATCAGTTTAGTATAACTGAATAAATTAGTAATCTTTAAACATATTGAAAGACTCCATTAGAAGGGCAAGGAATATTTGAAGTTTCCCCCTTAACCTTCATTTGATTCCAAGAACATCTAGAGATTCATAATATAGATATGTGTATAATATTTTTTATATAGTTTTTTAAACTTTATTAGTTTAATTATTTGGGTTAATTAAACAAAAAAAATTAAGTTCGAGAGTTAAAAGAAACTCAAAAAAAAAATCTAAAAATTAAAATGATTAAATTGATAAAATTAAGAACCAAACACATTATATAGACTAAATTACGGTTTTTGTTAGAACAAAATTTAATTTTTTTTGAAAAGTATAACTATTAGAATTGATTGAATTAAAATATATAAATTCACAACTTAAATACATTATATAGAGTAAGAATAGAGTTTAACCAAACTAATACACATGAGATTATATCGCCTTTGCCCATCAAGCAAGCAAGGAATCAAGCTAACTTAACTTCCTTACATAAACATTGCCCCATTTTTCAGAATTCTCTTCAAAATTCAAGGTCTGGTTCCGGCATGGCAAACTCAGCCAAGAAGATCGGCACTGAGAGTAAATATAGAACGGTAGCAGTCGTAACAGCACCGTTTATCGTCATCGGAGGAATCTTCGTTAGTTTCGGGTGGAAATACGTGAGTGGATATTGGAGCAAGAGAGTCGATCGTCGTCGGAATTTACCGAGATCAATGTCCTTGGCGGCCATCCGTGGCGGAAATTGGCTTTAGGTAGATTCGTTGATTATCGGAATTCTCGAGCCGAGAAGTCGACGCAAAATGTCGACGATATAAACCAGTTGGAGACTCTACTTCAAAATGAACAACCCAATTTCAAGGAAATTCAGGTTTATTTTTTTTTTCCTTTTTTCCCTTTATTTATGATAGTATTATTATATGTATGGATCACAACAGTTCGGGTTTTTCATCAATCCGATCTGAATAATATATCTTCTATCCAGATTTGATGCGACTAACATTTAGGAGTTTTTACTCAAAATTCCACTCAAATTTTAAGATAAAAACTCACATTCGACCTGACTTGATATAAATGTTAAAAGAATTATTTTTATTTAGTAAAATAGAGATCTCATTGAAAATATACAAATATGAGTATTATAATAATTATCTTTAAATATTTAGAATAAATTTATACTATTATCTCGAGTCATATTGGGTCATTTCAATTCGAATTCCTAAACTTGAATTTGAAACCATTTAGAAAAAACCGACATGGATTTTTAAAAAGACTGACTTTATTAAATCAAGTCGAAACGAAATTTATCAGATTTGAATTAAATTATCATCACTAATTATATGATGTATTCGAGATTACAATACAAATTATTTACTTAGTTTCTTTGTAGAATGGTAAAAACTTTTATGTATATAGTTTCAATCATATATAGTCCAGATTAGTCGACTAATGATTAAGTTTAATTTAATTAATATTTTATATAATATGGTAAAAACCTTAATATTATATCGTTAAATTAAATTACTAGTATCTTTTTCATTATTTTTCAATTAAAATTTTAGATCGGATTCAAGATAAATAATAATAAAAATTTTAAATTCAAATCAGATTTTATTATGAATCGACCGGAAATTTATCTCAATCTATACATTAACACTTTTAGTGATTAATGTAAAGTATTTTTTTAATATACACGAGTTTAAATGTGATTTTATTGTTTGGGTTTGAAAGCAAGTTGTTGGAAGGCTTGAGATGAGTAGAAGAGAAGATGAAGCAATAAAATTGTTAAAGAAAGCATTGAAAAGGGCACAAAAGAAGGGCAAACCAAATGAAGCTTATGAGATTGGAATGTTCGTTGCAGAAATGTACATCTACAAGGTTTCTTTCTTTCGATTTTTCAAAAAAAATTTATTAGAATTCAGATAAAAAAATTAAACCTATTTTAAAAGATGACCAAACTTAGGTTACCATATTAAAACTCGAGCTGAATTTGATTTATTTTTCAATTGTTAAATGTATTACTTTGCCTATACGACCAAACGTAAATATATTTTAATAATCCTTTTACAAATACAAGTAAATATGGTAAAAATTTTGTCTTTTTTAAGTGATTGAACCGAGTTTTAGCAAATAGGTATAATATAGTTTAAATTAACTATGCTTCTTGTAGGGAGATGTTCAAAAGGCTTGGAAATGCAAATGCTTAGCAGAAGAAGGTGTTTCTGATGCAAGACCTTCTCTTTATAAGGTGATATTGCACATCATATTATTTATTATTTTTTTGTCAATTTTTTATTTCTTTAAATTTAGGTAATTTTCGCGTATAAATCACTCAGTCGGTCCCTCTATTTTGTTCAGATTGAGCATCTAGTCGGTACATGTTAATTTGGCATAATTTGATCATTATAATTTTATAATGATATTATTTGATTCAATTAGTTAACCTATTCCAATTAAAATGAGAATGTGAGTTTTAAGTGAAAGAATTTCACATCAACATTTTAACTAGAATACTTACAATATAAGCTATTTAGATCGTGGTTGTTATAATTAGATTAGACTGACCTATGAAATCGAAAATAAAAAAAATCCTTAGTTTAATTGGTGAGATAAAATTAAATGAAAATTATATTATCATTTGTGAATAGTTAAAAACCGAAAAAATGGGTAAAAAGAACGATTCAGCTTGTTGAACTGAATTTTAATCTTTTTATTGATTTTCCTATTTTTATTTAATTATTATTAAACCAATGATTCAACTAGTTGAACCTAAAACTAATGATCTAATCAGTTTGGTCACCAGTCTATTTATTATAACGTTTTTGGGATTAACCTTTTAAGGTTTAGTAAAATTTGACTCAAACCAAAAAATAGATTTTTTTGACTGACTTCGAGTTGTAATTTCATAAATTTGACTTGACTTAAAAAAATTAATTCGAGTCGAGTTATAAAATAGAACTCGAATAACTTGAAATTTTTAGTAATTAGTGGATTGATTTCAAGTTTGGGTCGAGTCTCTCTACTTTGTATGATATAAAATATAAAGAAATATTTGTGTATTGTATATGGTTATAGAAAACCGTTTAAAATTGATCAATCAAATAGTATTATAATATTATAAATATTTATAACTAAATTTAAACAGAAACTTAAATAACTCGACTCGACTTGAAAAAATTTCAAATCAAGTTTGATTTATAAAATAGAATTCATCAACTCGAATAACTTAAAAAAAATTACTCGACTTGATCAAACGAGCACCCTATAACATTTAACGTATAAAACTAGAGGATCAAATGTCAAATCAAGGTATACAGACTAAATATCAAATTCAGACGTGGAAGAGGGACAGAAATCATAATATGACAAAAATATTCTGTTGTAAAACATATTATTTCTCAGGCTATTATTTCCTTGATGGGAAACAAAGAAGAAGAAGCTCTTCAACATTGGAAAAACTTCAAAGAAACTCAGAACCAGACGACCCCACCGGGCTTCGAAGAAGATGAGTTCACTGAGTTAAAAAATGCAGTCAATCTACTTAAACAAGACATTGATTCTGCAACACAGTAAATTTACCAAAGCTTCATTTATATATAAAATTCTACTATAGTACCTGTATTATGTATAAACTATGGATTTAATCATTGTACTCTTATTCGATTAATTTTAATCTACACAACTTTTAAAATCTGACAATTTAATCATGACTCAAATAATATATAGACAATATAATTCATTTATCTTATATAAATTTATCAAATCGAAGAACATAAATTACATCTAAAAGTAATCTATAATATAGAGATTGTTGACATAATTTAAATTAATAAATTTTATAACTACTATTTAATGAGATATTTTAATAATACATGTGTAAAATGGCTTAGGAATACAACTTAATTTCATCCTTAAATGCTATTGTATCAAAAGTTTACTAAATCAAGGCTAATGAATTAATATATATTTCGACTCTACGATTGTCATACGATGGAATATGGATCAAGTCAAGATAATATTAAAATTTTGATTTGAATTTTGTCGATTTATGAAAAATAAAATTAAGAAAAACAAAAGAATAAAGAAAGAGAAATATTTTAGTATTAGTGTTTAGTTATATTGCAAACGTTGATCAACGGTGATTAAGTGACAGTAAAAAAAGGATATTAATCATAATAAAGAATGATAAAATTTTAGATTTATTTCATAGATAAAACTTCCGATATTGCAGCATTTTGGTACTGTCGTTAACCAATTCATGATCGGTTGATACAAAAATGAATTTCGAAAGTTGAGAGATAAAATTAAATTTTTAAAAGTTGGATAGTTAAAAAGAAATAACGTGAAAGTAGAGTGACTAAATGAGTAGCTTACCCAAAAAAGTTATAAAGACGACATCGTCTGACAAAAGCACCCTTTGGATATAAAACAAGGATGGAAGAAACTAGATAGAGCAATAACTAAGAAGGGCGGGAGGGTTTTGATTCTTCGTCGGTTTAATCAAAGCCTTTTCTCTTTGCCCTTTTTACCTCTATCCAATAATGGACCGCCACGGGGATCCTACCCCCGCCGCCGCCGACGACGACTCCATTCGGCGTTCTCCGCTGGATGATCCTCTTGATTTCATTCCCGTCGGATCACCGGAAGAGGAGATTTTATATCCGCCGACCGATGAGGATCACGACCCTGACCATAACGGTCACCGAAATGATGATGAACACGGTCAGGTTCACGATCAGAATCCCGAGGTCTATTCTGCGACTGATGTACTTACGGATGATCTCAAAAAGAAGATCATTAAGCAGGTAAGAGGCACAAAATGTTTCTCTTTGGTCGTTTGGCATTTAAACCCTAGAATTTGTTCTGCCTTTTTGCGTATTTCTTTTTGTTCTTCTATATTCTTTTAGATGAATTTTCTTGATCTATATGCATTATGGTTGTTTCTGTAGGCGGAATATTATTTTAGCGATGAAAAGTTGCCCACGGATAAGTATATGATGGGTCTGATTAAGAGGAACAAAGAAGGATTTGGTAAGTAATTAAACCCGTGCTTTGATTGATTATAGTATCTGCAAAAATGTAGCATTTGAGTATATATAAGTATTATGTTTTGACTTATAACCTTGATTAGTGTAATTGTGTGGAATTAAGCAGCGACCTATCGAGTAAGATGTAATTATTTGGCCAATATGAAAAAAGGGTTAATTCAGATAACAGTATTATGTTGCCGCCAATTTTTAATTGCTTTCATTGGATAGAAGATTTAGGAAAATGAACTTGGACTTGGATTCAGAGGTTGAGTTTGAGTAATAACTACACATAGGTATATAAACCCACCAATTATTTAAAGATTAATATTTTCATGGTTGTGTTTCAAATGTGAGAGCGTTATCTTTTGACTTTTGAGTTCTCCTTGAGCAATGAAAAGGATAGTTGACCATAGATTTCTGTACGTGTGACATGGAAGGGGCTTGTTAACTGTGTCCACTTTTCTCTTAGCATTATTTGAACTAGAAGAGGCAGTATCTTCTCTTTTCTTATATCTTTCTCTCTTGTTTTTTCTTCCATTTTTACCCTGAATTCTAGTATGTATTATATCTGCACATCTGAAATTCCTTTGAAGAAAGCTAAACTCATGAGAATAGTTTCATGTGGGTGGTATAAGTTACATGGCATAATAGCCAGCCCGTGCATCGGTTAGATTGGAGTCTATCACAAACATAGACCTACGGGACCCTTTTCCTTATTATGTGACATATGGAAAAGGGATTGTTGATATTCATATTCATGCTGTCTTTTTCATAAAAAGACTATAAAGGTTATAAGCTTCTGGTGGGTGCTCTTTTTGTTATACTTGTCTAACCCAAGACCTTGTAACCATCACTTTGCAGATAAAAGTATATGTTCTTATTACCTTGATATCTTGCTATTGACAACCGTATGGTTTTCTGTCTTTCCTTTGCAGTTCTTATTTCAGAAATATCTTCTTTTAGGAAAATGAAAAAGCTCACCAGAAATTATCCATCCATAGTTGCCGCTCTCAAAGAGTCTTCCTTACTTGTATGTTTATGGACACTAACTCATTTTTTTTGTTTCGATTATTGCAATATGGCTCCGACTTGCTGATACCATAGAGATTTGATTGGCCATGATAATAGATTTGGATATTTTTTTGCCTCTCTCTGGTATGTAATTTCTAGTTGAATCGGATGTTTGAAACCTCTCAGGTTGTGAGTTCTGACGGGAAGAAGGTGAAGCGCCGCAATCCTCTTCCAATCATTGAGGTTAGGGATCCAAAGGTATATCTCTTATGGAACTTAATGGCTTCACACTCATATTTGTCCTTATCTAATTTGTGGTCCCTAGGTATTCACTGTTTTGGTAGAAAATCTTCCAGAGGATCATTCGGTGGAGAATATTAAGAAGATATTTGGTGAAGTGGGACGGTATAATTATTACTATTTTTTAAATAAAAGCATACATGCTTGTTCATTCTTCTTTCTGTTGTGCATGAGATTTATGTTTTCTTTATGAAATGACTGTTCCTTCTGAATTTCCAGCATAAAGAAAATATCAATTCGTGATCCGCATGCTATTGAAGAGTCGAAGAAAAGTGGTAGGGCTGATATCTTGATCAGCAGTAAGGTATGGAATTGGTTTCTACTTTGGTGGACTCTTTTGTTTAATCACAAATTTTGTATCCTTTCCTGATCTTTTTCTCTTTTCTGTTCCTCATTCCAATAACCTAGCCTGTTTAACATTGAGAGTATCATTTTCTTGGATATCAAACAAAGCACTAAAGCTTATACTAAATAAACAGCATTTTGAGTTGTTTTGGGTTGTCAGTTATATATTTCTTTTGGCATTTCAATATGCATTGTCATCGTCGGACTGGTTTAGTTTTTTTAATGTAGAATTCACAATGTTTTAAGTTCTTTGAGTTTGGTATACATTGTAAGCATGCCACAACCTTCTTTATAATGGCTGTTTTCATTTATATGTATATATAGCCTTGTTTGTGATCTGCTTAATTTGCCGCTTTCTGGATCTAGTTACATGCTCTGGTGGAGTTTGAGACTGTAGAAGCAGCTGAAAAAGCTGTAAGTATAAAGAACTCTTCAGTTTTTGTAACTGATGTCATGATTAATCTATTGATTAATTGATTTGGAGCACCATCTGATTTTTGGATTAGGTGACTACTTTGAACAATGAACATGACTGGAGAAATGGCATGCATGTTAAGCTTCTTGAGCGAATGGTAATAATTCTTGTTTCTTTTAACTTCTCTTACTTGGGAATAAACTGTTATTAATAAATTTTCATGTTATAGGGCACGCATGGGCAGCGAAAGCAAGCTCGGAGAGGATCTGCTCCTGAAAAAAACAGCAATGCTCGAGCACCTGATCAAACAGGAAATGAGGAGAATAATATCTCAAGTGAGCATCATGAAGATATACCATATGACGAGGTACGCCACGTGTCTTTTTCATGCTTGTACAAATGGTATTAACTAGGGTTTAGCTTTATGAATAAACAAGCTTTCATGCGAGTTATGATATAATCATACTCGACATAACTTTTTTCATATCATTATTTATTACTAATAAAGAAAAACATGAGATTTAAAGGAATGTTGAACCTTTTTGTTTTTGTCTTCCTTTTTTTTTTGATAGAATAAGGCCTCGTTAAAACCCCCTCATATCCTACATGTTACAAACATAACATGAAGGACATTGGAAGGAGGAAAAGAGCGCCTCTAACTTTTATTAATGAGAACAATAATACACCTCCACACCTCAACACTAACAACTCCTTACATAACAAATACCATAATACTGTAAACATAACGCACCCTAATACTCCCTTAATAAGAATAACCAAGGCCTAACACCTTTAAGCATTACAGAAACCTAAAAATCAACCTATACCAGCTTTAGCTAATTCATCCGCTTCCCAATTTGCTGCTCTCGAAATATGCCTCATGATAATACCCTTCCTTTCTTGAATTTGGCATAATCGAATATTCATATTTCAGACTGCAGACTGAGGTAATACTAGGCAATTTCGTTGGATTTTGGATAGAGTTTATCCTTTTAATATTTCTTTGCTTTTACATTTTAGGACGGGGAGCATTTGCCCAAGGAAAAAAACGGGCAGCGATATAGAAACAGAGGAAGAGGGAGGAGACAGAAGAATCATGGTACCAATGGACTTGGTATTAGAATAACCACGGCTTTAGCTTTTTGTATTTTCTTTAGTCTTTTTCCATTTCATTATGATTTTAATTTAATATATTACATTATACAGGCCATGGAACTACATCCTCATGCCATGCCCTTGAACTGTCTAAGCCACCCCCGGGCCCTAGAATGCCCGACGGAACGAGGGGATTCACAATGGGTCGTGGACGGCCTCTACTTTCTTAACCAAGTTTGTGACTTTTGTTTTCAGCACCTCTGGTCTGATCTTGCATTCCGTGTTTTCATTATCATGCGTTGTACATATTAGTGACGGTGTTCGGATATGGTTTTGAAGGCCAATTGATTTATCGGTCTTATTAGTGACGGTGTTAGCTTTGTTTATCTTTTGAAAACTGAACATACGAAACGAAACGGCTTGTCCTGTGGGGTTACGTTCATAGAAATGATTACATTTGGTTGTGAAAATGATTGTGAGAATTGGATTGACAAAATTACCAGCATATTGCGATTCTGTTTGTTGGATTAAATTTGAAGCTCAAAGCTCGATTCGAAAGAGTTTCACTTTTAAATTCCGAGTACGGTTGGAGATTGGTGTATGGTTTCATGTTCATTAAAGATAAACTCCACTCTTTTTGAACAAATAAAATACATATTCATCTCTGCATCTGTTCATAGACTTGGATCCAAATAGCAAAGAAGTTGATTTCATAGAGATCGAGTGTTCGGCTCGTCCTGACAGTTATTCTTGTCAATAGCAACAGTAATAGATAAAGATATATAACAATTTTTTAATAAAGATGTGTATTATATTCGGCTATTTTCCGTATTTGTTTATTAAAAACGTGTATAATAATAGACAAATATATAATAACATTTAAGCTTCAGGAGTATCATTTTAAGAGTCATCTTAAATTATTATTATTATTATTATTCAATTAGGATTTAAAATTTAAGACTTTATATTTTTTAATGTAATTCTCAAGTTAAGTACTTACAAAAAATTTAAATAGTTTAAACATGATATATGAAATTTAATATTATTAAATTTTATCGTATTTTAAATATTCCAAGTCCATTTCCATGAAACCATAGTTTAAGTACATCTATTAATTCCGCCAAACACTGTAACTATCTACCATCTATTAGTATTCCTACCCCTTTTTTTATTTGTATTCTACCACCGCTCTGTCAACTGCTTCGGATTTGCACCGCGGCGGAACCCAAAGCTGAAAACGCCGACAACTCGTAGAACCCTCCCCGCCAGAAAAAAGCTCAGAACAAAATGAGCCAAAATGAGAAAACTAGAGGCGTCACCTCCAATTTCAACCCTCAAAGCCAATATCAATACGGCACGTTTCAAGGCGTCGCCAATTACTACCCTCCTTTCCCTCAACAACCTCCGCCTCGGCAGCCCTTTGTTGGATTACCTCACCCCGTTCCTCCTCCGTTCTCAGCCTCCAACCCCTATGTCCATGGCTACCAGACCGTCACAGGTACTTAAAATTGCTTATTTTTGTTATTGGCTTATTTTTGTTTGTTTTTTTTTTTTTGGAATTCACAATCTACTTTGGTGGTTACGCAGTATGTAGGAGTTGATTGGTGATTTGATTGGGTTCCTTGATTGTTAAATTGAATTGGGTTTCTGATTCTTTGGTCTAATTTTGATATTTATTGAAGGTTTTCCTGTTGAAGAAGCGGCACCCGTGAGGCAACCTCGCCTTCCTGTTTGCGGTCTTGGAATCGGCTGGTTATTGTAAGTTTTCTGGATTTGATATTTTCGTGGTATTTTGCTTTAATTACTGTTTAACATGAATGCGAGAGTAGATTTTTACATAGATTCTTATGGCCATTTAGAGGTTTTACTGGACATGGTAGATAAAGTTGTCGATTAATTTCTTGTTTTGTTATGACAAATCCGTACCGTCATCTGTAAGGTGACAAGCTGTAGAAGATTCATATATTGGTTCTTTTCGGGTTTGCTCATTTATGTCAAGTCCGTATCATATCTGTAAGCTGACAAGCTGTTGAAGATTCAGATATGATTGTTCCTATTGTAGCAGTTCACTGTCTGTTAGGTTATGAAAAAATCACAACTCATGCTACTTGCTAGTACATGGAATTGGCAGACATGGTGAAATTTAGAATCTGGTGAGTTGTCTGAGATGAGAAATGAAATAACATCCGGCATTTGACTCTACGGAGTCTTTCGTGTCAATGTCTAGGTAGCTATATATTTTTTTAAGATGCACTATGTTGCTACAATAATTTTCACAGAACAGAACTTTAAAGAAAGAACTAAGCAAAAATTAAGTATTTTTTTCTTGCGTAAAGTTAATCCATCGTCCGGTGATTAGCTTCGGAGGTTCGACTTACTATTAACTATTTTCGGGTAGATTTTTTCTTGGCTTCTTCTTCGGTGGTATTCCCTGGTACGTTGGAACTTTTATTCTACTCTGTGTACGAGTGGATTATAGAGAAAAAGCAGGATACCTCGCATGTGCTATCGCTGTAAGTTTTCATCGTCTATCATTTATTTTCCTATTTGCATATGGTTTCTTTGAATTTCTTTCTTTTCTTGTTCTGTTATCTACTATACCTACCAATCTGTCTGCATTTTGGAAAACAAGAAATAAAAGTTCGGAAACTCGTAAAGAAGTGAATGGAAGTAAATTAACTCGTATTATTTAGTTCGAGTGAACCACCCTATTTTCTATCTAATATTCTAATACTTATTACTCTTACACATTAAATTTTCATGGTAGAATTGGTGCTGTTGTAGTTTTTCTCTTATTGAATTTACATGGTTATAGTCCAATTTCTCCAAGTTTTTACACATATTGGAGGATCATAACCCCGTACCTATATATAAATGCGTCAGACACATATTTTGAAGAGAATGAGAAGTAAACATAGATCAAATGCATCGGATTGCATGTTGATGTGCTCATTACCCTTTGAAACTAATTCCTTGCAGTCTGTTATCGCTATGATTGTGGTTACCTTTGGTTTAACAAAGGGGAGGCATGCCTGGTGAAGTTATGAAGCTGGCTGTGCATTGTTCTTTGAAATATATCCTAGAAGTATTGGTGCGTATATTTACATGTAGTTTTCATTTCTGCTGAATTGCTGAAAACATTATGAATGCCAATAGCTTTATAGGTATTTGTAAAATGTTTTTACTTTTGGGCCTGCTGATAGTTTATACTGAAATTTGTTTTTGTTTTGGTATTGATACTTTATCAATCTAAACAGTAAGATACGGTTCTCATAAAACTGGTTCATACATGCCGATATGGTTTACGGTTTATCTTCACAATTTTTTCATCAACCGATGTTTCTTCCATTAAAGCACAGCCCAGATAGAAAATCTGCATAGATTTACAGCAAAGATGGTCTGATACCACAGATTCAACTGCTTAATCCCTTGATCCTTTTCATTTTATTTTTTTTATCTATTTTTCATAATATATTGAAGCTCCTCTCTCTGGGTGGACTTTGTTTGCTATCAGCTTCCATTTTCAATGATTCTGCAATGCTTCTCACTTCTGCAACCATTGCTATGACATCGTTAAGCTTGTTGACGGCTGAACCCACACCCTGTGTTGCCCAACAAATTTCCCTATTAATTCACTGATTTTATAACCAAACTAACAGATTTATGTCACTAATCTTGTGTATGTGTGTGTTGCTTACCACACCGGCTGCCCCCGCTGTAATCGCCATTGGAGCTGTGACAGCACTAAGTCCAGATGCACACGTTACTGGAATCTTGACTGCCCTTGAAATTGAGTATGCTGCTGCTAATGTTGGTGTTGCCTGATTGATCAGAACAAGAAAAAGAATTAGTCCAAACTTGCAGGATCATATTTGCTATCCGTGCTCGATATTTATGTTCTATGCATGTTCCAGATTTGAGTATAGGGATATGATCTTTCTCCGAATAGAATACATTCAATTTTGACATGAACATGATACCAGACATCTGCACCCAAATCCAGGTAACTTATTCTGCTTACCTTCTCAATCAAACCAAGGACACCAGATTTTGAAGGAGTTGAGCATTTTCCTCCTTCAGTTTGGATAATGTCAACACCTTCCTTTTCCAGTATCTCTGCAAGCTTGACCTATTTGGAGAGTTGAAAATGGTTAATTTCGAAGCTATTGGAAAGTGGCAGTCGTAGGTATAATAATGAACGACTGCCATTGCTTTAAGCTTTTTATAGCTGCTTCTGGTTTTACCTGATCAGGGAGGCTCAGTGTGTGAGGAACTGTAACTGATAGAGTGACAGAAGGAAGAATGCTCCTAGTCTCCTTCGTTAGCTTTAGTATCTGCATAATATGATTGGCAAAACTTGAATTTGGTAATTTTATATACGAATGTGTTTAATATGAATATATCTACACTTGCACACCCGTTAAACATATTCAGATACCTGCTCCGTAGAGAAAACGACACCGGTGTCGTAAAATGAATCATAATTTCCAATCTCCACCTGCAATTTCCAACCACTTTAATAACATAAGTGAACGGATTCATTCTGATTTTATATTCATTCAAACCGAAGTTCATCATTAAAATCACAAGATTCAATCTTATTATAATGAATATTGAGTTTCCAGATCAAACCATCAGTGCTCCAGCTTCAACTGCAGCAGAAAATGCAGCCGGATCAACCGATGAAACACAGACCTGTAATGAAATAAACATGTTAGAAGCAGGATCCAACATATTACTACGATAAAAAAACAAAGATGAAAAATGTACGAATATTTTTTGTACCAAGATGGATATTTGAAGAAAAATGAGTATATTAGAGGGAAAATGATTACAAATATTGCTAGATAGAATCCAAATTCCCAAACCTAGAGAGCATAGGTACATATTCTTATTTGTTATTTTTTCACTAAACTGATAGATGGTAAATTTTTCAGTATTCAGATCACATATATGAACAATTTCCTTAGAACATGGTGGACAATGGAAATAAAGCTCAAAGAAAGGTTTTTGGACATACTGGAAGAGAAGTTAAACTGATGGCAAGTTTCACTAAATCTGGGTCACAAGCTATATCGACGTGAGTTGCTCCACCCTGAAAACCAAATCACAGTTTACATTATTATTTCCAAATAATAATAATAATAACAACAATAAAGTTTTATAAATCAATGGAATCACCACAAGAACCTGACCTTATCTGCGGCAGTAACAACAGAAGCCACGTTATCTCTATCAAAATTCTGTAACCCAGAGATAATCTACAAAAGAAAAAACACTTTGACATCAAATTAAATGAAATTAGACAACAAAAACAGAAACTGGGCTTTTCTTTTTGAAGTACCTTGAGAGCTCTTCGTTCATGGAAGTCTTTCAACACAGTTTCTTTTGAGCTTGATAAAAGAGCTTTTGTTGTAGTTACAGAAGCAGTTTTTCTTAGAGGTTTGCATGGATTTAAAGGGAGAAAGTTGCCCAGAAATGGGTTTAAACAGTGCTTCAAAACAGCGTTGGAAGAAGCAGGAATTGTCATGCAGATTGAGGTATGCATGTTTTCGAAAAGCTCGGTGGTAAAGATTCTTGGTTTGATGGAAGAGATAAGAGTGATTGTTCAATGTGTTTTTATACCTTCAAAACATATATTCTTAGTGGCCTATTTTTGGGGTTTGGACTTTCTCTTAGCCCCTCAATTATCTGCTAGCAGGATGGGCTTAATCCAACGAGTTTTGATTATATATATATATATATATTGAATTTAGGTTAAGGTCGTTTTAAATTAGATTTTTAAGGATAATATCATATTTGAGTTTAGGATAAAAGTATTCTATCTGATCCGATGCAATAATAATAGTCTTAAAACTTTCTTTAAAATTTGTGAAAGTATCCCTGAAATACTCATTCCCAAAATTTCTTTGATTTTTCGAATCCCAATCGTGAGAAGGTAGAGAAGACGATTTCATAGTGATCAATGATACAGATTGTTGACTGGAGTCATTCTCACTCTCAAAATTTTAGGTTGAAATTTCAAGAATTTTAAAGAGATTTTGTTGAAATCTAAATTGATAGAGTGAAATGTAACGAATATTCAAAATGATCGAATAAGATATAAAAGAACAACAATTTCAACAATAACATGACACAATATAAAATTTTAATATTATTAAAAAGATGATAAAATAAGAAAAATAAAAAATGGACAACACGTCACTTCTGTGACAATAAAAAGAATTCATATCACCTTATTATTATTTATTTAATGTCGTCAAATTATTTTTTAAAACTAAGTAATTAGAACATAAATATATTAAAATTTAAGTGATGAGAAGTATAATTTACCCATAAAATAACACAGCCTGACCATAAAAAATAAAACCACACAAAGTGGAACCAAATTGAACGGACAACCTTGTATTTCTTACACTTTTTTTTTTGGTTGAATACAGGATAATGGGTCCCTTATGTGCCCATTTTATCAGCTAGAATAATCTCCTTGGCTTCCTTAGGGTAATTACTAAGAAATTTATTCTCCTCCTGTTGACTCTTCATATGCTTGGCGATGAAATCAGTGGCGCGGTACGTTCTCTAACTCCACAACCTAGTTTCTTTTGAGTAGAATCTCAATATGTTGAAGGATTGTTAACTGTCCGTGTTCTAAAGATTTGTTCTTAATCAGGTTCACTGCTTTCTTACTATCTGATTCCACGATAATTTTTCTTTCACCTTTCATCCACGCAGTTTTTAATCATTCCTGTATTCCCCACAATTCCGCTTCCAGTAATGTACATCTTCCAGTTTTTTTGCCCACTCCCCAAAGCCAGTCACCATTGTAATCCCTAGCGACTGCTCCACACATCGCATCCCCATTGTTTTGATTTCTGGTTCCATCAGTATTGATTTTGCAGTATCCATTTCCTGGTTTTTTCCATTTGTAATGAGTATTCTTTCACCTAGTATTTTTTCACTCCACAAGGATCAAGATCAAATAAACATTGGGTCACTGGCCATCCATCGGGAGTTTCGGGGATAATACCGATATTTTAACAACAAATCCAATAAATCTAAACGTAGTCCTTGGTGTATTGATCTTTTTTTGGAAAGAGGGTGTGCGAGTTGTTTATTTCAAGAATAGACTGGATTCACCCAGTTGTACTTTTTTTCATTATAACTAGGAAAGCAAAGAGTGCATGATCCCGCTAATGACTTTTTGAATAAATTTTTAAAATCATATTTAAGAACCGTAGCATTTCGTGATTCATTGGTACATCGACTTTGATTCTCTATTAACCAATAATCTGGGACCATTAACATGGTTAAGGCCAAACCATTTGATGTTCAGATGCAGCAGGGTACTCTTTCTACTATTTACTAAATACAGAAAGAATTTCAAAACAAAAATGTTTTTTCGATATAAAACACTCATGTCGATAAAACGATTTGAGCCCCTTTTTCCAATGGTGTGCATGAATGTAAGAGTAAATATCATCAGGTGTGCATGGGTAAATCAATCCGTATTGATACAGTTCGAGGTCATGTGAAAAAGAAAGCCCTGTGATACAGTCAAAGCAAGAACTTGTAACAAAATGAAAATAGCCATTGAAAAGCATTTCATAAATGGTCAGCGAACCGAAATTTACGACAGTACTAATATTCGCTTATATAGCTAACAATCCCTGAAGCAACAACCATAGGTCAAACAACTAAGAATTGAAAGGAGGCAACCAAGTAAAGCCACTGGTGCTTACAGAGAGTCCTGAAAGCAATCTTGAATCATGCACGACGTCTACTACTAGAGAAGAACTCTATAAAACTCATACAGTGTAGCTATTCTTGGCATCTCTGTCTAGCTTCGCATCTTCCTGAAAGAGAGAATAGAACGTGTTTGTTTATAAAGCCCACAACTTGATACATAAACAGAAAGATCCGTACAAACTAAAACAAGCCATTACATGAAATATAAACCCAATAGTTTCGTTGTAATCAAGCAACTCTTTCCACTGTTTCCCGATGTTTATCTGCATCAACAACAAAAACCAACAAAAATAGGTTTCAACGGTTTTGGAATTGCACAAATCATTTTTCGTAACAAAGCAACTGACTCACCTGTGCAGTTTCATTGGCAGCATTCTTGGTCCAAAGCGCTATTCTTTCCTGCTTGCCTCTCACGCTGACAACTGCTCCACAGATCTCATCACCATACTCAAACTGTTCCCCTATCAAAGCCAATAACTAGTACAGAAAAAATATATAAGATATCAAGCCACATTTTTCACTTAAGCATCAAATTTTCACGAACAAGTACACAATATATCATCTGAAACAATACCGTGTACAACCAAGGCGTATCTGATTTCCCCTTCTGGAAAGTCACGGTCCATTTGCCTCCATTAGCACAGACAGGGTCTTCCCACTTAGGCTCGATCTTATGTTTGAAACAATGAAAGTCTGCTCGCACAGGCAACTTGCTCGGATGATGTATGTTATTGTAAAGGCTGTAAACAGAAAAGTTTGGAAGTTAAATCCATAAGTTTCGTTAACAATCAAAAGAAGTGACATATGAAATTAGTAATCAATGGCAGCAATATAGAGACAGCCGGAAAAGCGATTTTAGGATGATTACATAAATTACCATATAACCGATAAAAGCGTTTCGGCAAGGCTGATTATAACAAATTTAAAGAACAGTTTAACAAGATCCGATTAAGATGAAACAAGAGGCTAGGAAGCAGCACTCTGTAGCAGGCAGCTCCAAGATTCTTGTAGTACACATTATTGTACAATAACAGTTAAAACCAAATCCCATTTACAGTCATCATCACCATCATATTCATATATGTGTGTGTGTATAATCACACGATTATAAACAGCTCCAAGATTGTTGAATGATCAATCGCATAAGTAAAACCCTAGGTCCCTAACAAAAATTGTAATAATCCAACATGTAATCAAAGAAAGAAAGAAAAACCCAACATACCATCAAATTCACAACCCACAAATCAAAACCAAAAAAGTGGGGAAGAGGGAAAAAAAGAAGAGAAAATAACCTCCAGAATTGTTCGATGGTTGAGAAAGTGTAAATAGGGCGCATACAACTACCCCAAGTTGTTTGCTTCGATTTGGCATGTGGGTTATCGAACCAGAAGGTCCATGAATGCTCGAGAGGGTGAGTTTGTTCGGCGACATCTTTCTTCAACGACGTCGCATCATCTTCTTCTCCGGCGATCTCCCCTTCCTCAAGCCCCTCATCTTCTTCTTCTTCTTTCGCGTTAGGATTCTTGTTTTCTTCTTCATTGATATTCAACGATTTCAGGTTTTCTTCGAGCCCCATCTCCGATCTCTCTCTCGATTTCTTGTCAGTTCCCTCTCTCTGTAGCAAAGCAGCTAAAGATTTCTCTTCTATGATCTTTTCTTAAACCGCCCCAAAGCTAAGGGCCCATTGACTTAGTGGGTCAATATATATATAAACACGTACATAATATAAATAAAAGAGTAAACTACAAAAATGGTCACTAATATTTGATTAAATTTTCATTTCTCCACTGAAGTTTTAAAAATAACAAATTAATCACTAATGTTATTGATTTGTAACAAATTAATCACTAACATTATCTATTTGTAACGAATCAGTTTGACTCCACAAAGCTTTTGACCGGTGTTTTTCTCTCTTCTTCTTCTATTGATGAATATCATAACACAACCACCATGAAATATCAGAGGGCTCACGGTGCAGAAGCTGATAACATTTTACGAAAGCAACTTGACCGTGTTATTCTTCTACAACAGGGCATTGTACAAGGTCCCATGCTTGAACTTCCCAATTACTTCACCAGGAGCATCGAGGATGTCACTGATGTTAAGGTCTTATCCACCGCTAAAGTGATCAAATCCTCCATTTCTGACTCCTCTTCATTATGCCTCTATCCTTTACTTTCAATATCGTCCGGTTGATCATTTCTTGTTTTCCTTTTGAAGTAAAAGTGTCATGACCTTGGACGAGAAATTAGGGATTACAGATAAGAAAAATGGGAAATTCAGAAGTGAATTGGAAATTCGAGAGTTACATGTTATTGGGGCAGACGAGGAGGCTGATACATGGGTTAAGCAACAGATGGGCACGGCAGTTGGGCTGCAGAGGGTGAATGAGCTGGAAGGTAATTAGAATCAGAAGAGGAGGACCATAGCTGGATGCTGAGAAGGACACGACAGTTATGCTGTTAAAAAGAATATACAGCTGTCAATAAATAATTGAACAAGCTGATTAATATATATATGAAATGTACCAGAACAATGAAAATTATGAATGAATATACTGAGAACTTTTTCTGTAAACCTACATTTCTCTCTGTTTCTTGAATCATTTCTCGCCATTTTTAGGTGAAAACCTGACAATTTGTAATCAGAGCTAGATTAAGTGATCCCAAGAATTTTTCACGTTGGGGAAGACAAGGAAAATGCAGAAGATTGGAACCACAGAGACACCAGAACAATCAGTGGAAGCTGGGAATGAAGAGTCCTTACCATCTTTGTGGGTTGGTCAGAAGAGCGAGCTGGAAGCAAGGATACAAACACTGGAAACTGGAGTGATTGATAATAGAGGATATTTGCAGAGAATTTTGCAGATGGTGAGCCAGGCAACTGAGGAAAAGGAGTCACCTTTGACTGATAAAGATCGATTGCAAGCAGCTATATATCAAACAAAACAAGGAGGTAAGCAACCATGTTTAATAACAGTTCTTAATGAGCATGAGAAATATACCTTTAAGAAAGATGAGCCTGGAATTATCATATAGACTGCTGTTATTCCTCAAAATTGTGAAAGTCCACTTAATGATATTATGGATGTGCAAAAGTTGAAAATAGAAGGAAATACAGTGGACTTAGAGGAGTCATCTATTGGTGGAGAGGGTCAGTCAAATTATGTTTTCAGGCCAAAGATAGAAATTCAGATGTTTGATGGAACGAACCCAAGAGGTTTGGTAAGGAAATGTCAGAAATACTTTTCCATCTTTAAAGTACCAGAATACCAGAAAGTATAATTAGCTACAATGTACTTAATTAGAAAGGCTGAGACTTGGTTTGATGGTTATATAGCCCAGAAGCATAAGGTGAACTGGCATGAGTTTGCAGCAGATATATGGCATAGATTTGGTGATCAGAATTGTAATGATATTGTGGAGGAGTTTAACAAGTTGATTCAAAAGAACTCTATAGAAGATTATCATGAGAAGTTTGAGGAGCTGAGATTTTATATGTTGCAGTACAACCCATTCTTAGAGGAAGGGTATTTTGTTTCTAGTTTTTTGAGTGGGTTAAAAGAAGAAATTAAGAACAGAGTGAAAACTCATAATCCAACAACTCTGGCTGCTGCTTTCAGGCTAGAAAAATTGGTTGAGTTGACTTGGGAGGTGGAAAACAGGAAATTGAGGTTTCAACTTAGAATTATACCTACATGACAGAATCTCATCTACAAATCTCCTAACCCTACTCTGAGTCAATCTCAAAAAGGAGTTGCTCAGACTACTAACCAGAGTAGACAGTCATTGGTGGAATACAGAAGAACACATGGATTGTGCTATAAATGTGGTGAGAAATTTAGTCAATGGCACCAATGTAAAGTTAAGCAGTTGAATTATATGGAGGAGATAGAAGATACATGAGAGTTTGTGAATGTGGAAACAGAAGACAATGAGGCTAAATTAGCAGAATCCATGGAATGTTAACTTGAAATTTCTATTAATGCTATAACAAGGCAGGCATGTCACAACACCTTAAGAATTCAAGGTCATATATCAGGGAAACCTTTGAACATTCTGATAGATAGTGGAACTAATCACAACTTTATAACTGGTCAGTAGTCTAAAGGAGTAGAATTGGAGTAGACCCATCCTTTAACCATTACAGTTGCTAATAGAGAAAAATTGTATAGTTCAGCTATGAGTAAAAAATAAGATGGGGAATGCAAGGTTCTCAGTTTGAACATGATTTCAGAGTTTTAGCTCTGGAAGGTAGTGATATGGTATTGGGGGTTGATTGGCTGAGAAAATATAGTCCATTATTAATGGATTTTAACAATATGACCTTGAGCTTTCAGAAGGATAGGAAAGATGTTACTTTGAAAGGAGGGCAGAGTTAAACTACTGTTAGACTGATATCAAACAGTAAACTGCAAAAGTTGATGGAAAAAAAACAATGATATCACAGGAGAAATCTTTATGTTAAGTGGGGAGGTTAGTTATAATGAAGTACCTGCTGAATTATAAGGGTTATTGGAGGAATACTCAGTTGTTTTTGAAGAACCAAGAGGAATGCCACCCCAAAGGGAACATGACCATTCAATCATATTAAAAGAGGGTGTTGAGGCAGTAAATATCAGACCCTATAGAATGCCCTACCATCAGAAGTCAGAGATTGAAAAACAAGTCAAAGAAATGTTGTATTCTTCTATAATTCAGACAAGTAAAAGCCCCTTTGCCTCACCTTGTCTGTTAGTTAAGAAGAAATATGGAAGTTGGAGGATGTGTATAGATTACAGGCAGTTGAATGCCTTAACTATAAAAAATAAGTTCCCTATTCCTGTGGTGGAGGATTTATTGGATGAGTTGAGTGGGGCAGCTTATTTTTTTTAAACTGGATTTGAGGTTAGGGTACTGGCAGATTAGAATCACTCCTGAAGACATTCCTAAGACAGCCTTTAGGACTCATCATGGCCACTTTGAGTTTAAAGTTATGCCTTTTAGGTTGACAAATGCCTCAGCCACCTTTCAGGCCTTAATGAACAAAATATTTGAGGCCTATTTAAGAAAGTTTGTACTATTTTTTTTGATGATATACTTGTTTACAATATTGATTTAGAAAGTCATACCAGGCATCTCAGAACTGTTTTGGAGGTTTTAAAGCAGAGCCAGTTGTTTGCAAAAAGAACCAAGTGTTTCTTTGGTCAAAATGAGGTGGAGTATTTGGGCTACATTATATCTAGTCAAGGAGTAGCTACTGATCCAGCAAAGATTCAAGCAATGCAGCAATGAAAATTGCCAAAAAATTTAAAATCTTTAAGAGGATTCTTGGGCTTGACAGGTTATTATAAGAGATTCATCAAAGGGTATGGTGAAATTGCTAAACCTTTGACCACTATGCTTAAAAAGGATCAGTTTCAGTGGACAGAAGAAAGCAAAGTTGCCTTTGAAATACTTAAGGCTGCAATGTGTCAGGCACTTGTTTTAGCACTGTCTAATTTTACTAAAGGTTTCTGTTTGGAAACATATGCAAGCTCTAAGGGAATTGGAGCAATTTTGTCTCAAGAAGGAATACCAGTGACCTATCTTAGCAAGGACTTAGGACCTAAACAAATGGATCTGTCCATCTATGAGAAGGAGTACTTGGTCATACTAATGGCCATTTCTAAGTGGATGCATTACTTAGAAGAGGGGTCCTTCATTATAAAAACAGATCATGAGGCTTTAAAGCATTTGTTAGAACATAAGTTAACTACTTCTATACAAAAGAAAGGGCTCACAAAGTTGTTAGGATTGAATTATGTTATTCAGTATAGGAAATGCAGACATAATTTGGCAGCAGATGCCTTATCTAGAAGAGATAAGAATGAAGGGGAATTGCGTCAATTAACAACTATTGTTATTATTCCAACTTGGGTCCAAGAAGTTGAGCAGAGTTATCAGAATGATTTAGTGGCTATAGAAATGATTACTCAGCTAGCTGTCTTTGTTCAAGATACAACAGAATGGACTTATTCAAAAGGGGTTTTGAGGAACAGGGGTAGGTTTATATTGGACAGACAGGTTCCTTAAGAAGACAGATTATAGAAACTCTACATGACTCACCCCAAGGTGGTCATTTAGGAATCCAAGCCACCTATCATATAGTGAAGTCTTATTTTTACTGGAAATGAATGAAGAGGATGATTAAGGACTATGTTCAGCAGTGTGATATTTGTCAAAGGATTAAGGATAAACATATTTTGAAGCCAGAGTTACTTTAAACACTTTCTATTCCACAACAAGCTTGGGAATTTGTCACTATGGACTTTATTGAAGGACTTTCAACCTCTAACAGGTATAATTGCATATTGGTTATCATTGACAAATTTACTAAGTATGTACATTTTATACCCCTGGTACACCCATTTACTGTAACTGGGGTAGCTAAAGTTTATTTGGACCAAGTGTATAAATTACATGGACAACCAAAAATAGCTTTATCTGACAGGGATAAGATTTTTACAAGTCTTTTATGGAAATAATTACTTAAGCTACTAGGAACTAGTACTATTTTCACTACAGCCTACCATCCAGAAACTGATGGTCAAACAGAAAGATTAAACCAATGCTTGGAGCAGTAATTGAGGGGAATATGTTTTATGAAACCTATAAGTTGGAGTAAATGGCTGTCCCAAGCCGAATGGTGGTATAATACCAGCTTCCACACTGCTCTGGGAACAACTCCATTTACAGATCTCTATGGGTATACTCCTCCCACTATGACTTGGTCAACAGACTCAAGAGTAGCAGATATACAAAAACTTTTACAAGAGAGAGATACCATGAATACAATACTATATGAGCAGCTTGACAAAGCACAACAGCGTATGAAGCATTATACAGACAAAAAACGTAGTGACAGAGTGTTACAAGTGGGGGATGAAGTTTACCTTAAACTTCAACAATATAAGCAGTCATCGGTGGCATTGAGGAAGAATCTGAAGCTCTCAGCCAGGTATTATGGACCCTACAAGGTTATAGAGAAAATTGGATTAGTGGCTTATAAATTGCAACTGCTTGAAAATTCGAGAATACACTATGTCTTCCATATTAGCCTTTTGAAAAGGAAAATTGGAGAGAAGGTAGTTACCTCTAGAGATCCACTAGAGGTTAATGCTGAGGGTCAACTTCGTGTCTATCCTCTCCTGGTATTAGACAAACGCATAGTGAGAAGAAACAAGACGTCAGTCACACAATTGTTAATTCAGTGGGTGAACTTTAGACCGGAGAATGCTACCTGGGAGGATTTCAATGTGCTGAAGTCGTAATTCCTTGATTTCGATCCTTGGGGACAAGCATCGACTGCAGAATGGGGTATTGTCATGACCTTGGACGAGAAATTAGGGATTACAGATAAGAAAAATGGGAAATTGATAAGTGAATTGGGAATTCGAGAGTTACTTGTTATTGGGGCAGACGAGGAGGCTGATACATGGGTTAAGCAACAGATGGGCACGACAGTTGGGCTGTAGATGGTGAATGGGCTGGAAGGTAATTAGAATCAGAAGAGGATGACCATAGCTGGATGCTGAGAAGGACACATCAGTTATGCTGTTAGAAAGAATATACATCTGTCAATAAATAATTGAACAAGCTGATTAATATATATGAAATGTACCATAACAATGAAATTTATGAATGAAAATACTGAGAACTTTTTCTGTAAATCTACCTTTCTCTCTGTTTCTTCAATCATTTCTCGCCATTTTCAGGTGAAAACCTGACAAAAAGAAGATGAAAATAATGAAAACGAACAAGAATGTTGTTCCTGACAATACAAAACCTAGTGCGCTTTTCATTTTTCATCAAAATTCCGACTCACTAGTAATTTTTACAAAGAAAGTCTGCAGCTTGTTAAAGAATACTGAAAGAAAATAAAAGTTGGGTCTTTTTTCGGGGGGGGGGGAATTCTTTTGTTAGGGACATGTTGGATGTAGTAGAAGACAAGAAGGTACATATATGTTTGAACTTTTGGTTTTGTGGTGTGTTGTCGAACCTAAGATTCTCAGGCAACTATGGACAGAAGCTGTAACTCAAAAGAGTTTATTTGTATGTTGAGAAAATTAAAGAGATTGCGGATTGACAATGCATTCTGCAGAATCAAAAAATGGTGGAAGAAGATAGAACAATTGTCATGTGACAGATTACTGCCTTGGTTGACCTTATATGCCAATGTTGAAGAATAAAATTTTAACCATTTCCATCAAATGATTTCTGCACTGATGAGGTAATTCTTGCTTAATATAATGTGATAATCTACATTATATTCCATACTCATATCCACCAAAAAGGCTCGCTGGTAAAGAAAAAAAATACTTAAATGTTGAGGATTTTTATAACAAATAAGTGTCTGATTGTTCTGGTAATGAACAAACTACAAAGAGTAGAACATTCAAAGCCATCTAAGATCACATAAAATAAAATAAAAATGTAAATAAAAGAGTAAAAATCTGGTAGCAAATGAAGATGGAGGAGGTGTGGAAAGAGTTCATTTTGTCTAATGATTTCAATACTTTGAACTTTCATGAATGATGAAACAACTTCCATTTTCGCCAATAATTCAAAGAAACAAAAAACAATCAACATAGAATGGAATATATACTCTATGAATACTTAAAACTAAGAAGCATACTTAAAAAAAATGAGAGAGAGAAAGAGAGAACAACCACCATTGTTTTAATATAGTAGAAACAATGGCGTTCTCTTAATGTTTGAACCATTAGAAGAAAAAAAAAACCATTTCATGCTTTATTTCGTCTCCAAAAATTCAAATCAAAACGGAAAAGAACGTGTACCTTCATCTACCATACGAGCACTGACCAGTTCTTATCACATTGCTATTTGGCACTGAGTTCATAATCACAAGCCCTTTTAGTGTTTAAGACAAACTATGGAATAGAAGAAGAGAAAATACGGAGAGTTTAACTTTCGTGAAGGAGAGGAAACAAATAAAATATAAAAAATATGGGAAATTTGGTTGGAGGATGAAGGAACAAGAATGACAGAGAGTTGATTACGACATTGACAAGTAATCCATCCTAACTGGGGGGATTTAATACCTGCACATTTAGGCTGTTGATGCTCTATCAGTTAGGGTGGTTTTCGGCCATCAGCTTTTGCACAGTGAGCTCTGCAACATTTCATGATGGTTGTGTTATGGTGTTCATCAATTGAAGAAAAAGTGAAAAGGACACCAGTCAAAAGTTGTGGAGTCAAACGTGTGATAAAATGGTGTTAGGTTACTGATTTAAGGTGTCTCATCAGCTTTCCGTCATCTAGTTAACGATTGCTAGCATTGAATAGCCGATTTGTTACAAATCGATAACAAATAAAAAATATTAGTGATTAATTTGTTATTTTTAAAACTTCAGTTAAAAAACAAAAATTTACTCAAATATTAGTGACTATTTATGTAGTTTACCCTAAATAAAAAGCAAAATTATTTAGTTTTAAGCCTTTTTAGTTTTTATTCAATTATTTAAATTTAAACCTTATTAGCTTTTGCATTGGTTGCCTTCTTTTACCTAAACATTACTTATTAAAAAAATATTTTCCATATCTATATTGATTATTTCCCGAACTTATATTCTTTTTTGTCACATAAAATAAAGATATGTTTTAGAAAAAACGTGTTTTGCAGGATGCACCTTCTGTCTATGTAGCGACAATGCATATAGAACGAACTAAAATAAAAGAAAAAAAAATAAAATTTGGTCAAAAAATATTTTAAAAAAGAATACAAATTTTGTCATAAAAGAATAAACTTGTAAGGTACATATCGAAAACACTTATTTTGTACGAGCACAAGCATGAGTTATTGAAGGGTTCTTTTATATATATATATGGTGAATATAAGATAGTATTTGTTTAAACACTCTTTAATTATTTGACAATGAACGCTAATACCCCTAGCATATAAAGTATTTAAACTTGAGACTTTAAGGAATAATAACAAATCCTTTAACCACCGAAGTCGATTGGTTTGTGCTGCTAATGAAGGGGGTTATATGAGTTATATGACATTGGATGATATATGGGTTATAGAAATGACATGAGTGGTAAGAAATATTTAGTGAAATAATTCAAGTAGGAAAAAGATTTTTGGATAATGGAATATACAGGTGATGAAAAATAAATATAGGTTCTAAATTATTTGTTATAGTGTATTTGAAATTCGTTATGTGGACATGACGAGTTTCATTTGTATCTAACTCACACGATGAATTTTAATTTTTAATATATTTTATAGAACTCGTCGTATAAAAATAACAAAATTCTTGTATAATACATCAAATAGTATAAATTCCAAAACAATTACCCAACAGCTTAATTTCCCTACTTATTTTTCCCGCTCATAATATTTCCAAATTTTGGTGGGGATGGGAACGGGGGGGGGGGAATTTAATTAAGGGATCAACACACAACATAAGACATTGAATAAATGCTACCCAATTTATCATCAATTCATGTTTCCATGAACTGATGGTTAAAGTTTTGTATCGTTGCATTTTGGAACTAGTAAGACCCCGACGTCGGTGAAGGTCAACGACAAGCCAGTTAAAGTCCACAAACACTCATGTTACTTCAGGTATGCCACTCTTTCCGCCATTAAATTTTGCCTACCCACCAACCATAACCATTAATCACTACATACATACATCAAGATTCAATGACCATAGTGAAGGCATGCACATTGACAAGATAGTCAAAATGAACCCTAAATTAGATGCTATGTATGAAATGCCAACAGTGATTTATATACACACATAGGAATACTGGAATAGGACCACAGTATGCCTATATCTGGTCACTGTAATGGCATGTGATTTGAGTTCCCATTTCTCTTTCTTCACCAAGTTGATAGCCTTTTTGAGATTTGACTTCGCAATGTTCTTTTTCAATGTTCTTTTTCCTAGATTATAAAGGCTACCCTTTGACTTTTGTATATATTTCGATATCATGCAGTACAAAATAAGTTAAAGAACACTTAAATTTGTATTTTAATATGAGAATATGATATCCGTATATTAATCCAAACTATGGGTTATTTAATTTACGAGGATTGTTATATTAGTATAGTAAATTTTCACATTATATTATTATTGTAACAGTCAGTTTAATTTAAGAATCACATTATTTTTTTCTTAAAAAATGAAAATCTCAAATATCATTAAATTATGATTTTTAATAGTGTATATATAAGTACACTAATATAATAGTAGTATATTGCATTCAAGCTGACTGTGGACAGACAAGACGAGAGAGACTCCCACTCCGCGTGAAATGAATGAATTAAACCTAGTTTCTTCAACTGTAAAAGCAATCACTTGCATGCCTTTATCTTTTCGATATCTCCACTGCGTACTCTTCTCCTTCTCCATCTCTATATATCCCTCACAAGACGCCATTGTTTCCATCAAAATCTCAACCTTTCTTCCTCTCTCTCTTCTTTGAGCTTTCCTTTGGCAGCAACAATGTGTGCGCTGTTTGGTTTTGGGTTAGCTTTAGCTCTGAGTTTAAGCTTTGGGGTAATCAATGGAGAACCCCAAGTTCCTTGTTTCTTCATCTTCGGGGATTCATTGGTTGATAATGGGAATAACAATCGATTATCATCGCTTGCTAAAGCTAATTACATGCCCTATGGAATCGATTTCCCTAATGGTCCAACCGGGAGGTTCTCCAATGGCAAAACCACAGTCGATGTCATTAGTAAGCTTCTAAATTTCCATATGTGTATGTGTATGTATTATCTTCTTCCTTGTGTTCGACGAAAAGAAACTTGGGTTTCTCTCTAAAATGGGTTCGGATTATAGTCTTGTACTCATATTTGAATATCGAATTCAATTTTAACGTATGATTGTATATATGTTCCTATCCACAGCTGAACTTTGGGGTTCGAAAGCTACATTCTCCTTACTCGAATGCTAGAGGCAGACAAATACTCGGCGGGGTTAACTACGCGTCGGCGGCTGCAGGAATCCGAGAAGAAACCGGACAACAACTTGGAGCTCGGATCAGTTTCAGTGGACAAGTTAGAAATTACAGGCAGACAGTTGCACAAGTGGTGAACTTGTTTGGGGGAGAAGCAAACGCATCAAGTTACTTGAGCAAATGTATTTATTCAATTGGACTCGGCAGCAATGATTACCTTAACAACTATTTCATGCCTCTTTTTTACTCCACCAGCAGGCGATTTAGCCCTGAGCAATATGCTGATGTTCTTATCCAACAGTATACTCAGCAGCTTCAGGTTCGTATTCTACGTTCA